TTTCCTTCCATAGAGGAGAGACAGGCAGGTCAAATATTGACTTGTTACTTTTGGAGAGAGAGAGAATGGTAGAAAAAAATTGAAGCAAATTTGTGAAATGGCTGCCCTTTTGCCGCATACACACTAAATTATATAATCTTAACAAATATATGGCATTTAAAAAGAAAACATATACTCATGGAAATAACTTAAGGAAGTGGAAAGTCTTTGATGTTGCCGGTAGTCTGTATTTTTGAAGGAGACAGAGTCAATTTTGTTCACACTAGGTTATCTCATGTGTCTTCAATAAAGGTCACTGTCTTTCAGAGATATTGTCCTGATATACATGCTGAAAAACCTAAGTTTTGTTCATAAGTGTAGCTGCTCCAAGATCATCCACACACTATCTGTAACCCCATAACACAATGGAGATACCAAATGAAAAGACAAGTAAAATACAAATTTTGGTATTTTTTAAACCTGAGAAAAGGGATCTGTTGACTGGGATGGCCAACAGAATATCCTGACCAGAGAGTTGGGTATTTGCTAAAGTAGAATCTCCCAGGAGAGACAACAGCCCTAAAACATGGCTAACAACTTTGGTCTTCTAGAGCTGGTATCGGAGAATGTTTGGGATGAAAGACTCCTCATGACAGTCTTCTGATAAGAGACCACCCCCACTATAGTCAGTTGTTGTTGTTGTTTCTTATCCCCTTGTGTAAAGATTACACAAATTCCATGAGTTCATGTTCCACGAGCTGTTTTATGATAAGCAGTGACCTCTCCCAAAGATCCTGTTTAGTGTATCTACTGTAAGCCAAAATGTGTTCTGGAGCCCACTATGGTTTTGATCTCATAAGAGCTCTGCTGTCTTGGAGAACTCCCCATACCTCCAGTCAGTTCGATGGAGGTTCTCTCAGCCTCAATGAGCCTCCGTTTGTCCTCCAGCTCCGCAATGAGTCCCTCCTTCAGCTCCGCTTTGCGCCGTTCAAAGTTGAGTTCCAGGGCCCGGGCTTCCTCACGGCACTCCCTCTCCACCACCTCCCTCTACACACAGGTCAACCCAAGGTCATTTAAAACTTATTGGATGCCCTGGTCTCATGAGAGCTTTACAGTGAAGAATATTGTTTTGAAAATAGAGCAATCCATAAATAAATCTTTAATGTAAAAAGGCATATGATGCACTAGCACGCCATCTGTTATCAAAATTTGAAACTATTTTAAATGCGTAAGATTCTTTTTGAAATTAAACAATTTCTACTGCCTTTACTGCAATGGAAAAATTAATGGGAGGGTTCACCACTGATGAGCCAGGCCCTCCCATTAATTTTCCATTGCAGTAAGGGCAGTAGAAATTGTTTAATTTCAAAAAGAATCTTACGCCTTTAAAATAGTTTCGAATTTTGATAAAAAGGCATATATTGGATCAAAATATCATTTTATTTCACCAATATTTCAGTTGGCTGAACGCCAACCCCTTTATGAAGTTATTATATAAGAAATGTATGTCAACAACAAACTCAGCGCCACATAACCTCAACAGAAGAATATGTGAAAAAAAAAAAAAAACATTTTTAGGTCAGGTGTTGATAATAAAAACAAAAAAGGCATATCCTGACTTCTCACACCAGCATTTTAATCAACATTTAGTTCATTTTTGTTCCACTAGATGGCGCTCTGCCATCTAAAATACTTATGTGAGCAGTCAGGATATGTCTTTTTTAGAGAAGAATATGTACAGGCTCATCTCAATTACAAGGTTTTTATTTAATTCCAAGGTTAGTACCTTGGGTGGTGCGGAATTTCTTTTTTCTAAATTGGACTATTTTTCCTCATTTATTTTGTTTCATTGTTTCCATTTTCCTCAGGTGAGATATCAAGGAGGGTTCAGCATCCCACAGACAACTTGGAACAAACCTCTGGCCCAAGTTTCTCTATCCTTTTTAACCAGACTCCAGTCTAGATTCATCAAAACAGCAAAGTTCAAATGACTTTACCCTAGATGGTCTTCTTTGAATTGAATATGTGTGCATGTGGATTTGAACATTATATCCAAGAAAAAAATAAATACAGGTATAGAGGGATAAAGTTTTTGAAAGTCAAAATGGAAACATCCCCATAGATCTGCCAGCTAAAATATTAGAATTGAGAAAAGTCTTAAAATCTTTAATTATTATGCAGACAATCTTCTTCTTCTTTCTTATCTCCACTCAATCATATTAAGGTATCAAGCTTGTAAAGCTTGAGACTTTTGATGGTGTCTTCCGAGGAAGAGTAGAGCTCATCAATGGATGAGTCAATACAGTCAATAATGTATTTTGGGGTTGCAGGTTGACACTTAGTACATAGTGGGAAAACCTTGCAACCATTCTGGGAAGTCATTGTCCATAGATGACCAGACATAAGTCTGAAAATCATGATGCAGACAATATGTTTGAAGTGGTTGTTTACCTGGTGTTCATAAATATGCAAAGAAACATGAGGAGATACAAAACCTAATATAAACACCATTATGTAAGCACTTTATTTTCCTTGAAAATGAGAATAAGACCTAATTCAAATTGTAGCTATAATCTATAATCCAAATTGTGCCTTATCATTTCTTTGAAAAAGTTGAGGGTTTAAAAATACTCAGGTTTTTGTTGCAAATATAATAACCATTCAAGAGTAGAACAACCTCTCTGTAAAGAACAAGTTACAGATCCCAAAGTGTCCTTCAGAGAGAGGTGTCTTCTTACAGGAAAGTTTCTAAATAGTAAAATGGTCATTTTGATCAAGAAAACTACCTTTTGTAGAGAAGTGTCCTAATGGAGGCTGTTCTACTGTAATTTTTTTTTTTGCTTATTCCTAGTACACGTGATACAGGCCATGATAAGCATGGTGGGTAGAAGTAGGTGACTGCTTTTACTGTAAGTGCACCACATGTCTACATATGTGAAAAGCAGTTCAACTTTGCACTTAGAAATGTGCCAGAGACCTATTTGGTTACTTGCACTTACTGGTGGGGTTGAACTTTTGCAAGAATCGGGGGCCATTATTTGAGCTTTTTTTTTTTTAATCAGAAAAAAGTGTCCAATGCGGGAATCGAACCCGGGTCGTAGCGGTTGAAAACCAACAGTTTAGACCATCCTTCCACCTACCCTCATGTTCTACTGTAATAAATAGAATCATATATAAGCAGAATCGTCCAATACAGTATTAGAACTCTGAGAAGCGGTCTGGTGGATTAAATTGGCGAAACCGCTGGGAGGGTTCACCACTGATGAGCCAAGCCCTCCCAATATATCTTTTCATCGCAGTAAGGGCAGTAGAAGTTTGTATTATGTGTATAAAAGAAACATTTGTGCTTTTAAATCCTTTCATTTTATATAAATAGAATCATGATTAAAAGAAGTTTCTCAATAGAGACCACAAGACCTACCTACCTGGTAGTCATAGTAGGCGTTGATGGCGTTGATCTCGCCAGTGTGCTGCTCCTCCAGCTGCTGCACCCTCATCTGGAACTCTGGGTGGGTGCGCTCCATGAGCTGCTTCATCTGGTGCTTGAGTACCTTCAGCTTCTCCTGGTAGATCCTGCCACGTATACACACTCACTGTAATCATACATAGTAAAGTCTACAGCCAAACCTCTCTGTAACTACATCACTTGTTGATAAGGCACAATTTGGATTATTACTATATATAGTCACGACGGTCTTTCCTCATCGGCCGCCTCTGTCACGGATAATATACAGTTATCATCGTCATGCGTTCTTAATTCTGTCACCGTTTGTTTTTGGTTCAGTGGTAGAATGCTCGCCTGCCACGCGGGTGCCCTGGGTTCGATTCCCGGCCGATGCATTTTTTTTTTTTACAATTTTTAAAACTCATTTATATATTATACAAGAATGACATCCACGGCGCCAATTTATAATTGTAACGAATAGTATTTGAATAAAAACATTTAATCGGGTAAACCCCGGGCGTTGCCCGGGTCATTCGGCTAGTAAATTATAAACACAAGGTAATAAGACCAAATCCAAATAAATAAATAGTGTGTGAAATATACACACTATTTATTTATTTGGATTTGGTCTTATTACCTTGTGTTTACATCATTTGTTGTTGGTAAAACTAGTGTGACTGTAAAAGTATTGGGACGCAGTTTTAACCAAGTAACCATTATAAATATTGTAGGGGTAAAATAGGGAAAAT